TGTTGAGTGAGTCATCCTGAAAAAGAGAAAGCTGATGAGAATCATTAATAATAGTACAGGGTATAATAGAATGTATAGTAATTACTAGAATGTGGGCACCATAGGGGAGAGATTCTTATTTACTTTGTTAATAAAATAGCCCAGGGACGCTTGGGTGGCTCAGTCATTTGAATGGCTGACTCTTGATTTCAGTTCAGGTCGTGATCCCAGGGTCATGGTATTGGAGCTCTCTCTCTCTGTAAATAAATAAATCTTTAAATAAATATCCCAAGCTCTTCTGTAAGGCCTGACATTTGATAGGTGCTCAACAAATACTGAATGAATAAGAAGTTAAAATATCACTTGGTAGTGATGAGTAGGAGGTGTCCTGCAAAGGAACCAGATAGAGGGAAAGACACATTAGATACATTAGATGTTGTTTTAGCTTGCAGTGATATGAGCATGCATCAGTATTCCAACATGGCTTTATCCAGTTGGCAACTGTTCTTTTTTTTTTTTTTTTTTAAAGATTTTATTTATTTATTTGAAAGAGAGAGCAAGAAAGAGATCATGAGCAGGAGGAAGGGGCAATGGGTAAAGTAGGCTCCCCGCTGAACAGGGAACCCAAACTGGAGTTCCATACCAGGACCCCGAGATTCTGACCTGAGCCCCAGGCAGACACTTGGCTAGCTGAGGACCTAGGCACTCCTGGTATTTGTTATTGATATTTCCAACTTGTACCAAGATCAGCCTTCTCCCAGGTCACTAGTTTTCTCAGTACTTAGACCTGCCATTGGGATATGAGATAACTTCTGGATCCCCTGTGTCTCCATGTGAGCTGTGGATAAGATAAGATGAGATGAGATGAGATGAGATGAGATATATCAGAGTCTTCTAAGATTCCTCTCCCAGACATTTCTAATTCACCTTCTGGATGGCATCATGTTAATCTCGTACTGAATATTGGGTACTCTAAGGGATAGTCCTGTTCTTGAGATTCTCTCCTAAAGCATATGAATATTTTGCTGCTCCTTATTTCTTTGATATAGCAGAAATTAATCCCAAATGGGCTATGAGTAGCCCATTTACCCCAGGCTCCTCTTTGTAGTATCACACAGGCTTTTCTTTTTCTTATGGGGTAAAATTTTCTACTGTGTCATACATGGTATCTACCTTTTCAGTAGCTTCATCATTTAAACTCTATGGGGTCCAGTCCTCCAGTCTTGGCTCTAGGTATATAAAGTTCAATTTTGGAATTTCTTTTAGCAACCATTATATTTTTCTTTTTTTTTTTTTGTAATTTAATTTTATTTTTTTCAGTGTTCCAAGATTCATTGTTTATGCACCACACCCAGTGCTCCATGAAATATGTGTCCTCCTTAATACTCACCACCAGGTTCACCTATCCCCTCACCCCCATCCCGTCCAAAACACTGTTTGTTTCTCAGAGTCCACAGTCTCATGTTTCATCTCTCCCTCAAATTTACCCCAACTCACTTTTTCTTTTCTTCTCCTAATGTCCTCCATGTTATTCCTTATGCTCCACAAATAAGTGAAACCATATGATAATTGACTCTCTGCTTGACTTATTTCACTTAGCATAATCTCCTCCAGTCCCATCCATGTTGACACAAAAGTTGGGTATTCATCCTTTCTGATGGTTGCTTAATATTCCATTATATGTATATGGACCATATCTTCTTTACCCATTCATCTGTTGAAAGGCATCTTGGTTCTTTCCACAGTTTGGCAATTGTGGCCATTGCTGCTGTGAACATTGGGGTTCATATGGCCATTCTTTTCACAAAATCTGTATCTTTCAATAAAGCTTGGTTTTGCAAAGTTCTGAGTTCTTATTTGGTATAAATTTCTTAAAACCCTTCTATTTGGAAACTCAAAGTTGAGTGAAGATTTATTTGTTCTGTGCTGGACTCTACTTGCCCATGATACAATGAGCATATTGATGCAGTACATAGGAGAGTTTTGTAACAATTATCAATGAAAATATATTGGTTTAATAGTCAACAAATATCCTCACTTTTAGTTAGTGGTTGTCGTGATCTAGGCATCAGGGGGAATGGGTCTGAAGTTTGAGAAGTAACTATGGAACTAAAATTTGAGTGAAATTTGATAGGTATTGTTGTGGACTGATGAGTGGGTCTTAATGGCTGATTGAATATTGATGGTGAAAATAAAATTTAAAAAACACAGCAAACAAGGAATAGAGGAGAATTTTTCTCAATTTGGTGAAGAATATCTATAAAAAACTTATAGTTAATATCATACATAATAGTGAGAAACTGGGTGTTTCCCCCCGAGATTGGAATAAAACAAGGATATCCACTCTCACCACTCCTATATAGTACTGAGTTGGAAGTCCTGGCTAATTCACTAAAACAAGAGAAGGTAACAACCTGTATACAGATTAGGAAGGAAGAAATAAAATTGTCTTTGTTTGCAGATGACAGGAATGTTTATGTAAAAATTCCTCAAAGAATCAACAAAAAGCTCCAGAACTAATAAGTGATTATAGCAAGCCTGCAGTATACAAGATTAATATAAAAAAGTCAATTGATTTCTTAAATACTATCAATGAACAATTAAAGTTTGAAATTAAAAACACAACAGGAGTTATGTTAGCACCAGAAGAAGAAGAAATGCTTAGGAATAAATCTAACAATATATATGTAAGATCTATGTGTGGAAAAATATAAAAACTCTGATGAAAAACATCAAATAGACTTTAAATTAATGGACAAATATTCCATATTCATGGATTGGAAACATCGTTTGTCCTTCCCAGCTTGGTCAATAGATTCAACATAATCTCAATCAAAATATCAACAAGCTATTTTGTGGGTATCAACAAACTGATTCTAAAGTTTATGTGGATGGCAAAAGACCCAGAATAGCCAACAAAATACTGAAGAAGAAAAAAGTTAGAGGCCTGACACTACTCAACTTCAAGACTTACTGTAGAGCTGAAATACTCAAGACAGTGTGGTATTGGTTGAAGAATAGATCAATGGAATACAGCAATAGACCCACATAAATATAGTCACTTTATCTTTGATTAAAGAGCAAAGTCATTTCAGTGGAGAAAGGACAGGCTTTTCAGGATTCTGGACAGAAAAATGATATTTGTTAAAAATTAAGGAAATATCAATAAAGTACTAGTTAATAATGTGTCAACATTGGTTCATTAATTGTAACAAATGTATCATAATAATGTAATATGTTGATAGGAAAAAGTAAGTGCAGATATCTGGGGAAACCTGTACTGTATTCTCTATTTTTCTGTAAATCAAAAACTGTTGTAAAATATAAATTCTATTCTAAGAAATAATAATTAAAGGGAGCTCCAGAGGTGAATACTTGAAGAACAGGCGAGAATTAAGATTCTGCTAATCATTGCTAGAACTCCCCTCCCCCCCCAAAGGGTTATGTAACTGATTGGGTAGATAATGAATATTAGAGGGGCATTAAAGGAGCATTAAAGGAATTATCTGAAGATAATTTAAGATCTGTCTCTATCACTCCTATAATTAAAATCCTTCAGTGGCTCCCATGGTTTTAGATAAGGCTAGACTTTCTAAGTCGCATATGAACTGATCCTACCTTTCTGGATTCACTTTCCAGCTCTGTTGCTCAAGAACTTCAAGAAGCCTGGTCATTTACACACCATACTGTTTATCGCCTCTTGGCCTTTGTTCATGCTGCCCCATGCCTGAAATTCTCTACCTCCACCCGTCACTTCCTTCTACTAAACTTAGTTCCTATTTAGCACTTAGTTTCACCTTTTCCAAAAGCCCTTCCTGATTCTCTTGAGTTTATTTCATTTTTTTTCCTCTCTAAACCCAAGGAGTGTATTTCTACCCTATTGACCTTATATATTATTATTAGTATTAGTATTAGTAGTAGTATTACTATATATGGATATGTACTCTATTTGGCTGTGAACAAATCAAAGCCAGAGTTTTATTGAATCATATTTATATTGTGAGAAAGAAACAGACAACAGACACTTGGTTCTCACCTAAAAGAAGCTCACCTACAAGGCTAGGGGTCAGAATATAATTGTCTTTTACAAATAAAAAAATAGTTGCATTGAAAATTTTAATTCATTTTCACAAAACTTGTTTTTTTAGAACTCCTAAATCTTATAAGAAAAAATTTAAAGCACTAAAAGGTAAAAAATGTGAATTATTTTCTAATATTAGATGATACATGCCTTTAAAAGGGGGAGAGATTTTGATGATCTGAAGGGTATGTAGATTATGCCTAAGCACTTAATTCTTGAATGTTTTGTTACACAGTCTTTGAGTAATTTATGTGAAGCCTATTTATTGGTAAAAATTCAATTCACGGGGTTGCTTCAGTGGCTTAGTTGATTAAGCATCTTCCTTTGGCTTAGGTCATGATCTCCTGGACCTGGGATGAGCCCTGCTTGTCTGGTTCCCTGCTCCGCAGGAAGCCAGCTTCTCCCTTTTCCCCGGCCACACCCCACCCCACCACTTATGCACACAGACTCTCTCTCTTTCTCAAAGAAATAAATAAAATCTTTAAAAAAATTTTAATTCAGAAAATGTGGAATAGCATAGAAGATTGGTTTGTGTTTAAATGTAAATGCACTTATGGTGAGAATTGCCTTTTTTTCATTACCTTAAGAGTATTTTTCAAAAGGAAAATTTCACATTTTAGTATTCTCTTTCCACCTATACATGTTAGTAACTCTGAAATGAAATACAAGCATACCTTGCACTCTCTTTAGTTGAAGCTCCTCTGTTACTTAGAGCCTTTTATTGAGGGCATGCACCCTTGCCTCAGCTGAACACATGGTCTCTGTTTCTGGATCTTATGGAAAAGAGTGAAGTGCATAGTGCAATATATGTAAAAAGGTTCTGTATTTGTCATGAGGATTTGAAAATGAGGCAAAATTATATTCTTGTGAAGTGACTGGTTTTAAATTCTGCCCTTTGGTGTTTACTTATGTTTATGCAATCATATTATATTGATCACAGGGTACAGGAGATACTGACTGTCATTTTAAAATTAAGAAGAACTTGGAAAATGCATCTATAAGCCTGGAATCCATGAAAAGCCCAGGACTGTTTGTTGGACTTCAGCCAGATGGACAGGCAAAACCAGTTATTTATACTAAGAATGGGAATGTTTTCTTCTATCCGCAGGTCATCAAATGTATGTTTACTTTAAGATACTTCCATTTTGGTTTGCTTTGTGATGCCTTTGTGTCTGACAATTTAATCACATTTTTACTAAGCCAATCTCTGCTATTAGCCTTATTTATTTAGCCTTGTTATTTAGAAGGAGTGAAAAAGATTATGAAGATCATTTATCCCAGTTTTTCAGATGTTTGTGTTAGACATAGAGTTTTTACTATATTAAGCTCCTTTATAGTTTCAAAATTTGTGCATTGGTATATGTGTGTGTATGTGTGTATATTTTGTTATTTAATGATATCTCCATATACACTGTGAGGGGGATGGGACTATTAGAAATATTCTCAGTTTCATTGCTATTAATTTTTAATGCTAGCAATATAAAATGAGATAGAAAAATAATCATTATAAATGGGATTTGAATCAAAAATAGGATTTGGAAAAAGAAGTATAAGGATAGGACAGAAATGTGAATATTTTGAAACTAATTTCTCTCATATCTAAGATCAGATTCTCTAGCCAATTGTAGTGAGGATCTGTAGACTATTTAAACAGTTTAAGCTTAGAATGTATTTTTGCTTGAGCACAAAGGTTAGTGAGATAACTCGATAGTGTTCTTAAATTTAGTTCGCTATTTAATTTTTGCCTGATGTAGTCCCATGGACTTTGGCTTAATCAAAATCTACATGACTTTCTTAGTCTGACTCTTATTTAACTTCTCTTTGCTTATTAAAATCTACCTGTACTTTATATATATAACATTGTATATATATATTGATATATATAATATCCTACATATATATATAAAATATCCTACATATGTATGTAGTATCCTTCATATATATAATATCATATATTATGTGTCTCTGTGTGTGTATGTATGTGTGTGTGTGTGTATATATATATATATTATATATATATAATATATATATATATATATATTCCTACTGAAGATAGTTTAAATAAGAGCTTGATTTAACATGATGATATATCTGACCTTGTTCTTTGTGCTATCTGCCTCAATTCCTTCTCGGTCTTTAGGTGCCATATTTAAAATTTTGCAAATTGTTGGATTAGTACACCTTAACTTACTGCCATCCATACCACCACTCCCTCCACCCTCTGTTTTTCCACAGACTGGCACAGAGTGGCACTCCTACTCAACAAAGTGGGTATGCCATCTGTCTCCAGCACACTGCAGGGAAACAGATGACTCGAGAGCAGGAAGACGCAGGGTGGAGTAGAAGAAAAAGCTGTGAGAAATAGCTATCAGGGGACAGCAACCATGCTGGAAAAGCACAGGGAGAAAGGAGAACTAATACAAAGGAAGAAACAAGAAAAGAGGAGAAAGCAGAGATAACAATAATTAGGAAAAAAAGATGAGTAGAAAATATAACTTGTGGCAATACATAAGAGAGAAATAATAAAAGGCCATGTTTGTGACCTCAGGTATTAGTACCAATAGAAAAGAAGTCATGGATAATTTGAGTTTTTTTCTCTTTTTGTCAGCTGTATGATCTTAGTTAAACCAAGTAACATCAGAGAGCTTTGGTTTCTGTGTCTGTATAACTGGCGTAACATTGATATCTACCTGCTTGACTTATTTCACTTCTTCATTGCCAATTTGGATGCCTTTTATTTCTCTTTGTTTTCTGATTGCTGTTGCTAGGACTTCTAATACTATGTTGAACAAGAGTGGTGAGAGTGGGCATCCTTGTTGTGTTCCTGATCTCAACGGGAAGGCTGTGAGCTTTTTCCCCTTGAAGATGATATTTGCTGTGGGTTTTTCATAGATAGATTTTATGAAGTTCAGGAATGTTCCCTCTATCCCTATACTTTGAAACATTTTAATCAGGAACAGATGTTGGATTTTGTCAAATGCTTTTTCTGCATCAATTGAGAGGACCATGTGGTTCTTCTCTCTTCTCTTATTGATTTGTTCTATCACATTGATTGATTTGTGAATGTTGAACCATCCTTGCAACCCAGGGATGAATCCCACCTGGTCATGGTGGATACCTGCCCTATTTCGCCAGTAGAGCTGGTGGGGATCAAACAAGTAAATGCATATGAAAGTTCTTATTTCAGTCATAATACCCAACGTTTGCTGGCAGTTATTTTATGCCAGACATGAGAAACATGGGTTCTATCATTTATTCTCACTTTGGAAGATAGATAAATTACTTCTTATGGTCTTTTGAAACTTCACTTTAATTATTTGATAGTGTGTTTTAAAAAAGAATTGAATATCCCCAGTGATTGTGAATTAATTTTTGAAAGCTTATAGCCAGCAGGCCTGAGACTAAGTCTTCTAATGCTAGATTGATAGATGTCAGTAATTTGTTCAAGTAATTTCTTTTCCCCCTTATTATTTTTATTATATAAATAATGCATGTAATTGTGGAAAATTTTGAAAAAATACTCATGTGGAAATCTGTCTAGAGATAAAAACTATTTACATTTTGATGTATTTTTTTTATGACTTCTTTCTATGAAAGTGTGTTTTGTATATATTTATCTTCTTTCTTTTCTATACTAAAAATATATACATATAAAAATTTAAATTTATTTATTTATTTATTTAAGAGTGGGAGAGAGCACAAGCAGGGGAGCAGCACAGGGAGAGGAAGAAGCAGGCTTCCTCTGAGCAAGAAGCCTGATGTGAGACTTGATCCCAGGACTCTGGGATCATGACCTAAACCCAAGGCACACACTTAATAGACTGAGCCACTCAGGCCCCCTAAATGCATATTTTTAACAAAATATAGGGCTTCCATTGTATTTATATAAAACAACTTTATATGCTTTTTTACTTAAAGAAACAAATGATTTTCATCAATACTCATAGATTTACACTATCTTTTCAAGTGAGTTTTATTAATTCATTTGCCACAAATTATTTAATCAATCCTTTAATGCTGGCTATTTTATTGTGGATTTTTTTGGTTACTATTAACAATGTTGGATGATCATTCATGTACATACATATTTTTACACTGGTCTGAAATTTTTTTCTAGCATAAATTACCAGAAATGAAAATGTTCCCTCAATTTCAAAACAATAGACTTCTTAAATCTGAATGTCCCATAGTTATTCTAGCAGTCCCAGAAATGAGAAGTATATTTTGGTACTAGCTGTTAATCCTATGAGGAATTGCCTAGAGGCTCCTATTTGTCTTGGCTATTGAGAGGTTCCTCTTGCTCTGACTTTGGGCTATCATTTATCAGTCTGAGATTTTATAAATTGTCCTTATTAGATGCAAATTCCTGTGATCAACAAGCTATTCCTATCTGGATTAACCCATGAGAATAATCATGGAATTTTGTCTGTTAGTTAGATTATGGAAGTTCCAAATAAGTCCTAGGCATTCATTGCAAGTATCTGTTTCACTTAAAAACAATGAATGAGAAGATTTTCAAACATACTGTAAAGCTAGACTTCCAGCTCTATAAAGATTGATGTCCTCAAAGGACTTATTCCAAAGGACTACAGACTTTCACATTAAAAGGAAAATTAAAATTCTTAGCTCCATACCTTCTCACTGATTATTTTCAATCTGTAAAAGTGACTACAATACCACATTGCATTGATAAGATGTTTTAGCCCAGTACATTATACATGGCTCTTTATGTATCTTGTCATTGTATGAGAATTCAAGAGCCTGGATAGAAACATGGAAAAGTGAGGGGTAAGATTCTGTTGTTCATGGATTCAGTAGGAAGAAGCAGTTAATAGAATTAAAGGCAGAGAACTCATTTTGTAGGACATGATATTAATATATATGAAGACACTTGCTGATATGGCCTTCAAGCGAGAATCCTTGGAACATTACGACAAGTAAGCTGAACTTCTGTGGCGTTGGCTGACATATTCAGGGTTCAGGTTATCTTGTGGTAGTGTGTTCTATATGTTACCTGTTAGTATTCTCAGAATCTCCTTGGAAAAAGCTGACAATGAAAGTTTGCCTAGTAATTCTCTCCCTGCTGTTGTAGACACCCAGATTGACCAAGAAGTTCTCGTTGATATAGGGACTCTCATCACCAGTATTATAAATGTCAACATTTGTACAGAAGTAGACTGTTCCAAGAAATGTTAACCCTACATATATCATTGCTAAATATACTGAGGCAACTTCCCATTTTAATGCTGGAAATATTGCTTTGGAAACTTTATTGAAGGATCATGAATCCTAGGAATTCTGAGGAAAGGCATAGAAACACTAACATTTATTCAAAACACACTGTCTAGGAATACATACCCATTTTCACAAGACATGTGCCATGATGTTAAAGTAATCCATGTATATACCACTTGCCCTTTGGTTTCTGCATCAGGTTTGTATTTTCCCTACCCAGGCCTGTAATGAAAAGTATAGCTGCAGAATTGGTTGCAACAACTCCTTTATGGGATTTATTTTGACTCTAGGTAATCATTAGGCTGTGCACATTTCAACAAAATAAAGCACAAAGAATGGCTACTGTACAAAGGCTCATATTTGCTGTATTTATATGCACTTTTGAAAATTCAGTTTTTGTGGCTATCTTCTTTCATCTACATTTTCTCTTTCTTTTCTGGGTAGTACTGAATTTCCTGCCAGATCAGGTAAATAAAGGTGTAACGAAAGATTTAGAGAACAGTGTAAGATAATAGAAAATATATTGGGGGCACCTGGGTGGCTCAGTGGGTTAAAGCCTCTACCTTCAGCTCAGGTCATGATCCCAGGGTCCTTCCTGGGTCAAGCCCCACATCCGGCTCTCTGCTCAGCGGGGAGCCTGCTCCCCACCACCCCTGCTGCCTCTCTGCCTCCTTGTGATCTCTGCCTGTCAAATAAATAGATAAATCTTTAAAAAAAAAAAAAAAGAAAATCTATTGATCTCTGCCAACCATCCCCTACTCTGGTTCCTGCACAGAACTCCTAAAACCCTTATAAATTCCTAAGTGATAAGAGCATGGCAAGTGTCTTTTGTTCTAATGAGGTGACTCTAGGTAGCCCCGTGGAAGACTAAGCCATGATTCAA